CAGGTAAATGGTTGGCATTGGAGAAGATAATGCTAAGTGAAGTCAGCCAATCCCCAAAAAACAAATGCTGAATGTTTTCTCTGATCATCTTTGTATCTTGATTGTGTTAATGATTACAAAAAATTGACCTGTGACAAATTCCACAGAACTATACACACTGCACTTTTCTCTACCACTCTTAGTTAAATGGTGTTGGGGTTGACAATGGACAGATCAGTAGGAGAAAGGCAAGGTTTATTTACACATGCTGCTGTATTTTCAGAAGACTGAGTTATAGCTTAGGCCATGTTTCTGACTGTGGTTGTTGGGATGTTTATACAGTTTAAGGTAATGTTGACACATCTGTAGTGGAATAGGGGAAACAATAAGGATTTGTTGTTATTGTGTTAGGACAACTCTGTTTTTTAGCACAGTATTCTCCACTTGCCCAATTAGTTGTTGTAGTATCACAATGTTTATGTTGATGTAACCCTTATTTTACTTCATTGTGGTTCCAAAGTGCAAGAGTAGTAAGGCTAGAAATATGGGTATGATAAAAAAAGCTGTAAAGTGCCTTCTGTAAGTAAAAAGGCAACATTTACCATAAGCACATAAGATAGGAGAAACACAGCATATAGAGAGTTCACTGCTATGTTTGGTTTCAGGCATCCATTGGAGTTCTTAAGACACTGATTAGGGATAAAATAATAAATAATGTTCCTTTCTCGACTTCCAATAGCTAAAGGATTCCAATCTTCTACACAAACTTCCAAACTTCCACTGAATTCTGACTAAAATTGGAATATCCACAGTAGGATCTGGTTGAAATGCTGCCTACCCCATTTATGTTGCCTCCTTCTCTGCTTTCACTTCCCCAAGCCCAAATTTCCACACCAAAATCTCACTACCTTCTGTTTGCTTTCTTCAAAACAGAGACTTTTGCTCTTGAAATTCTCCAAAACTACAAATGGTATAATTTTTTCCCTTCCACGTGTTTCTGGCTCCTCATTTTATCTCTGTAATTTCCTAACAATCCCTCAACCTTTTAAAATAATAGTGACTGCTTCAAAAGAGGACTAAACAAAACAAGACAGGGCATAGTACCCAGGAATTAACAAAAAGAATACCTGTTTATTTTCTGTACAACCCTGGCCATGCCAACAAGTTCTCATTCCTAAATCACCAGTGTACAAAAATGACACCAGATGTTCCGTTTTTTTCTATTTCCAAAGAAATCTTAAATGATAGGATTACTTTTTATGAAGTTATTTGGGTCTAACACCTTATTGGGGACTGTGAACTCCTTTGATACCCTCCTTTTCAGGGAAGACAAGGTTATGTAGCACAAAGAACACTTAACTAGAAGTCAGGAAGCCAGGGTTCCAGGGCAGAAGTTGCTTAATCAATGTCTGCAGGGTCAGGCGGATACCAAGCTAAGTGGAGGGTGTGCCGCAGGCGTTCATAGCCAGCTTGTTTTGTATTCCAGCAGCTCCAAGTACAGGACCTACTGTGTCTAAACAACTCCCTGTCCTTCACTGGTTTGTTTCCTTTACTTTCTGTGACACAGATTCTGCTTGTACTTTTGCTCTTAAATATCCTTCTCCTTTTTTGCTCCAATTCTGAATATGATATATTTGTTGCAAAGTCTCCTCTAACTCTATTCTACTGATTCTCCTGCTTCTTTGCCTTCCTTCGATGTTCACTCAGAATGGTCTGCATGCTACTCCAAAGGCTCAGACTTGTCATCTCCTCTTTACTCTCCCTCAGATGCCCCATAGCTCTCTGTGGCTCTGGCATCTATATTTCTAGCTTCTATTTTCCTACTACTTTCCAGGTCTATTTACTGACCAGCCTCCAAAATACTTTTTAAGGTGTTGATAACATTTTAAACATGTCTAAAACAGAATTACTCATCTTCCTTTCATTACCCTAAATTACTTTTCCTTTACACGCTGCGTCAAGAACTTAGAGGCTGCTGTCCTAAAAGCACTCTCTCTTCACTTGGGCCTTGTGTATGGCTGCAGATGCCTGATAGGCAACTAAAAGCAGGATAAAAGCTAAGCGATTCCTTCTTTAGATGGTCAGTTCAAACCCCACTTCATATAAGCACATTTGCCCATACTATTAGCATTAGCCATCTTAGCTATCTTCCACTACTGTCCCAGTATTCATTTTCACACACATTTTAACATCCCATCCCCCCAATTAAAACTGTAATTTCCTTGATGTCAAGGCCCCTGTTGTAAATTTATAAATCTCCAAGACCTGTTCAAGTACTTCGCATAAGGCAAAGACACCCTGCCTCTTCCCTCATGGTATTATTGGTAACGGGTTCTGCCTGTATGATTAGCTAGTGGCTTTGAGTATTTATGTGTCTTAAGTACTTAGCATTTACTATTTCACTTAATACTGCTGTTCTCTCACTTTGCAGAAAAGGAAATGGAAGTAGAGTGGGGAAGTCACTTGTCTGAAGTCATCATGCTAAGAAGTAGCAGAGAGGATTAAATTCAAGCAGCATGATTGATTACACAGCCTGTGATTGTTTTTCTCCCTTACTGCTCAAGGATAATTTGTTTGCCAACTTACTTTCTTTGTCCTTTTTGTTTTGCTATGACAGAATACTATCAACTTGGTAATTTAAATAAACAGAAATTCATTTCCCCAAAGTTCTGGAGGTTGGAGAGGCCAAGATCACGGCGCTGGCATCTTGTTGTGACATTCCACGGCAGGTGAGAGGGCAAGAGGGAGCAAGAGGAACAACATTTCACAAAGATGGCATTATCCATCCAGGGGGCAATGAACCCAAGACCTAAACATACCTCCTCAGGCCCCACTTCCCAGGGGAACAAGTTTCCAACAAATGAACTTTGGAAGTCAAATTTAAACCATGGCACCTACCAAGCTCTCTCTACCTGGATGCCAAAAAAACCCAAAACAAAACAAAACAAAACAAAAAAACAGTGTTAACTTTGTTGATTAGTAACGCTTGTCTCTGGATAGGGACAAGTCTGGATTAGCCCCAACTTGCAATTCTCTATCTTCCAGGCACCCGCTACCACAGCTAACTACACTTTAGCTCTGATTAAGTACCTCTGAGGCTCTAAACCTTCAGTGGCTCTCCACAACTCAAAATGATAAAACCCCAAATTCCTTAAAATGTACATTTCACTCCCCATTTGCTACAAAGCTCCCCCGCCTAAGCTTCCTAAATTCTAAAACCAGCTACCAGAGTCTGTCTTTGCTCAATATTCCTACTCGTCACTCTGTCCTCTGAACTCATGGCCAGCTGTGGACCCTTTAGGATTTGTTTCACACCTAAATGAATATGTAATTAGATAAAGTTATAAAATCTTCAGGAAAAGATAAAACTTCTTGAAGGTAGGGTGTTTTAGTCCTTCTTACATCTGTCGTGGACACAAAGCCTCATGCCTGGAATAAGAGCTAACATTTACTAAAAAAGCCAACTATAGACTGGGTACTATTCTAAGAGCCTTAGAATATGAACTCAATCTTCACAATAATCTTAGGGAGCAGGTAGTATTATTCTTTCCATTTTAGAGTCAGAAAACTGAGATCAAAGAGAGTAAAAAACTTGGCCAAGATTTTGCCACTAGAAAGTGACAGAGCCTGGGTTCGAACTCAGGCACATTCTTACCTATCATGCTACAGTCAGCATTCAATTATATATGGGAATGTATGCTCTGAAAACTATTAAGGACCATTACCACAATAAAACCAACAAATCTAAACAAAATAGCTAGCTTCCTGACATTAAGGAAGGGGAGGCAGCAGTGCACGCAGGTTGGGTTTTTAATCAGACCAGAGTTTCAACACAAGTTCTATCACTTTCTAGCTTTGGGAATTCACTTAAATCATTTCTGCAATCTGCATCTGCAAGATTAACTAGTACTTATTATGTTACTTCTGAGAATTAAGTGATATCAGAAGCAGGCAGAGAACCAGGAACATGTAGAGCACACATCATGTGGTCATTATTTTGGCCCTAAAACAGATTCAAAACATGAAACCCATAAAACTTTTATTAGTCAACAGTTATAAAACTATTCAACAGCAATCGTGCGAACACATTCTATTCCTTCGTGACAATACACTGATATGACTTTACTAATTTTCTTAATACCACGAGCTTATAAAATAGTCAGATTATCATTAATTGTCTCTAATGTGAGATGAAGTTATAAAAGAGTTCTGCCTCTGGGCAAAAGAGACAAGCAGCAATACAAGAGCCTTTGATTCGTTAAAGCAAAAGCAAACGAAGTATAAAAAGCAACCATCAGCAGAGGGAAAATTTCCAAAGTACCACCTTTACTGAGAAACCCAGGGTATCCAATCGTGTGAGGATTTTTGAAAACCCGCCATACGATGACAGGGCTGAAGAGGACAGGGATGTTCAACGTGTAAGTACCAATCCCGACACAGGGATGCGGAGGAGTGAGCAGTTTGCGAGGGTCCAGAGCAGGAGGTACAACGCGAGGCTTCGGGAAGCCGCTCCGGAAGGGGCTCCCCCGAGCCCTGGGGTGCCCTTCCCTGCAGGACGGCAGGCCCAGCGTGCGACGCGGACAGAGGGAATTCTCCCCCGGGCTGGCAGGACCCTCCGACCCCCGGGACCCTTCCACCCGGCGGGCGGGGCTGCGGAGGAGGCAGGAGACACCTGCCGGAACGAGACCCGGCCTGTTTTTAGCGGGGTCTTTAGTCACGGGGAAAGCCGGGTTAGGGCACCTGAGGGCCAAAGACCAGTCTGGCTGCCTCTCACCAGTGGCCTGTGAGGGTCTCCTGCCCAGCCAGCGCTCCGACCCCACGCTAGGGATGGACCCCCGCCCCTCCAACGCAAACGGAAGCCAGCTCCGCCCGAGCGCGGGGCGAGGTCGCGGTGGCCATCCGCCCCTGGGTGGAGGCTTTGAGGGGACCGGCTCCCAGCCTGTTAGAAGACCCCGACGACGACGACGTCGGGGACCATTGTCGTCCCGGGGGCCCAGGACGCTCGCCACGAACGCACTTACCAGACCGCTGCTCCGCAGCAGCCGAACAGCTGAGCCCTCCATAGCCGCCGCAGGCTAGAATGCTTGGCAGGCCGGGTTCTGCGCTTCTGGCCTCGCGCCCGCAACCTGGGGGCGGGCCGAGCCGGGCCCCGCCCCTCACACACCCCCGGAGACGACGCCCCCGCGTGCCTACGGAACCCTAAGAGAGACAAACAGTGCCCTCCTCCGCTTGCGCCCTGCGCCTGACTCACGCGAGACTTGGGCAAGGCAGGGGGCGGGAAGGGATCGGAGACACAACAAACATGGCGGCGGCGGCGACGGTGACGAAGACGGAGGCGGCGGCGACGGCGGCGGCGTTGAACAAGGCGGTGGGGGTTACCCGGTGTGGTTGTCAAGAGGTAAGTAGCAGGCTCCCGGATTGGAGAGCAGCGCCCCGGATGAGCAGGACGCATAGAAAGAGGGGCAGAAGAGGACAGCCGGGTTCACCGCGGGCCGGCTGACCCGGCCCGAGCCTCGCCCCCAGCGGAGGGTCGTGCGTGGCCCGTCGGTGGACAGGGTCAGGAGCCGGGTCCTTCGTGGCCCGAGCGCGTGCGGCGGCAGGGTGGGCCGCCGGAGCCCCCCGGGAGTGGTGCCTGGGCGTGGGCGCCGTCGGGCCGGAGTGCGGAGGCTGCTCCGGGCTCTGACAGGTGGCTGCGCTGGGGGCGCCCGGCGGTTTGCGTCTTCACCGGGTTCCAGGGGCCGGGGTCAGCCCCGGCGCGGGTCTCCTAGGTGTTTGGAACCCTGGTGAGGATGTCCTTCCGAATCCTGGCGAGGATACAGTCCCACGCCGGTTCGGGGCTGCTGTTTCGGGGAAGGACATTTAAAACCTCCGTCCTTCATTTCGCGGTCCTGCCGGGATCCGTGTCTCCTGCACGTGCACTCCAATTTGGGGAACTGGCGAGCTTTCCGGAGGACGTTGAGCTATCGAGGAACTATTCAGGTTCATTCCGGGTGTAGGTCTCCGATGAACTGGAATGCGAGTAGCCACCCCGGGCATCTAGTAAGTGTTCCATAACCGTGGGTCTCAAGTTTAGTCGGTTCTAGCTGCCAGTAACCACGTGGCCCTTGTAGTGACCCGGTAAAGTGATGGGAACCCGAAAGAGGAGTGACCGCCGGGAGAAGTCATGTGAAGACATCTCGGATTGTGAGATATCAGGAAATAAAGTTTAGGAGAAGCAAAATTAATTTAAAACAATGTTTTAAACATCTGGACTAACAATTAAGAGTTCCGTCGATTTTGATATATATCTGTTTTTGAAAAAAACAGCTAGAGATTAATATATTCTTGGGAGTTCCTTAGAGTGA